GATCATGTAATCGACAAATCCTCAGTCCATCAAGGCTTCCATGCCTCGAGGAATCGACTCAGGGGATATCGTGTCGGCCGACTTGCGTCGGATATGCATAGGCGTCATTGGGCGTACATCGCTGCTGTCTCCAGTGTTTGGTGAGGACTTTGGCCGTTCCGCAAGTGACGGCCTCGACATCTTCTCAAACGGTCGCGCGGGTGATGAAACATCCTCCTTCTGTCCTTCCTCGTCGGTGTTCTCGGCACGCTTGTAGACGAAACTTTGTATAGGCTTTTGAGCCGGTCGCAGTGGTGGAAGCTGAGACTGAGGCTTGTCTTCGACATATTTCAGATAGTGCTGGCTGTCCAATTTGCCCGCCAAGGTTTCCTGAGGCATATCGGCGAGTTCGCGGTTCTTCTGCGTCTTGAAGGTTTGTGTAACACTGTTCTTTGGAGGCATCGTGGCCTTCTTGTTGTCCTTCCGGGGCTTCTTCGCTGACGACTTCTTGACTTTCTTGGATGTTGCGTCGCTTCCGGGAGTAGCAGCTTGCTGGCCACCAAAGGAAAGCTTGCTTTGCTTCGCCTTGGTACCCTTCTTTGCAGCCTCGACAGCCTTGATCTTCGGGCTGGCTGTAGGTGTTGGGATGCTCTGGACAGGGTCGACAAGCTTCCGCTTCTTTGAATCCAACGCAGTGGTCGAAGTAGACTTGGTCGGTGAATCAGGCGTAGGCGAAATGAGCTGCACCTCGAGATTATCCCTGCTAAGTCTGTCCTGGCGCCTCTGCTCCTCTCCCTCACTGAGGTAGGCAGACTGGTCGCCATGGGGCACGTCGAAACGGGGTAGAGCAGCCCAGTGAGCCACGTCATCGCACTTGCCGCGAACTACAAGGTCCCAGCAGTCTTTGAAGTCGTTGTGTTGTGGCTCCGAGTCCGTGTTGATCCATGCAGTAAATCCGTCTCTGCGACTACGCGTGACTTGACACAGCTCCTTCACGAGCCTCCGCACGCCTGGAATTTTGAGGCTGGTGCCAACAACAATGACCGCGTCAGGACGCGACTTGAGGTCCACACTCGACACTTTACCAATGGCTTCTTCGTCCGGATTGAATTCATTGTAAAGAACCATCCTGGGACGCAGGCGGCCGATACCGTGACTTCGTCTCTGGCCATACTGCGTGCGAACCATGTCGAGGTCCTCGCAAGTTTTGCATAGTGGAGCCTCGTGGCCCACGAAAAGCTCTGTTTCCAGAGCCTTGATGTCACTGCACTTTGAGCAGACCATGTGGTCAACGCTTCCGTGCAGTTGAATAGTTTTGGGCCAAGGACCCTTGACGTTCAGGGGAACATTCGTCTTCAACGGTTCCATGTTGGTGTCGATACAGTCGACGTTCTGGCTGTAGAGGCGGAGGAGACGGTTTTCGGCGGCGAGCGACGCTAACAGGTGGTGGAAGTGAGTGGGCTTGGCGGCCTTGACCATTGTAGCCAGGTCGCAAATCATTTTGTGGAATTTTTCGGTAGAGGAGTCATGTTTGTAGACTGAGGCGTCGAACAGGTGCTTGCCTGAGCCTTTCACCTTGTGCTCATTTGGCAATGTCGCAAAGAGTCCAGTCTTGGATCGAAAGTCGGGGATGCCGGCCGAAACAGAAATTCCAGCGCCCGCGATGACGACAATTTTCTTCCGCTTCTTGAGAGCGGACACGAGACGCGCCAAGTTTCCGTCATCTTCCTTGCAGTCGTCCAGGTTCAGGTACTCTGTGGTGCGCTCTTTGGGAGGCGTGACTTTGCGCCGCTTTCGGGGAGGCTGGCCATCAGTAGCATCGCTGGCATTGACGTTGATGGAATCGGCAGCGCTGTCGAGCTTGATGACGGGTACGGAGTCATCGGCGGCCTCGAGCTTGATTGGTGACTGGGCGCCTGAAGGCATTGAAGAGGTGGGCGATGGGTAGCGTTTTGACGCGTCGAGGGCGACTTCTGGCGAAGAGGGTATTGAGGGTGATTTTGACAGTACGGAAAGAGGTGACGAAAGGGTCGAATCTGAGGGAGACGAGGGCTGTTGATGCGCGTCGACGTCCATGGCTGAGGAGGAAGGGGTTGCGTCCATTTTGATGTCGTCGTCGTCGTCGTCGTCGGTGGTGGTCGGGGACGGAGGGGAGAAAGAAGAAAAGATCCGGGACAAGATTTGCGGGAACATGGGCAGCGTGTTCTATACCATATCCATTGTTCAACGATTTCCAGGAGTGTGGGCTTCTTTCTCCGGTAGTGGGTTGAAAGGGTTTTCGTTGTTGTCGGGAAAGTAAGAAGAAGTGTCGTTGAAGAAAGACAAAGTGTGGAGAGCGGACGGGCGAGGGTACCTTAACAAGTACATAGCCGTAGCGGCTGCAAGCAAACGTACATGGATGATGGGGCACGGAGGGAGAAGGGGGCACGGGGGGATGGATGGGAGGAGAGAGAGAGAGGGGAGCGGACGTGACTTGGAACACCGTCAAGCGAGAGGCGGGACCCAGAGCTGGGCTTAAAGTGCCGTCAACACAGGTCAGGAAAAGACCGAACAGCGGTGGCAGCAGATCAGATCCAGCCAGGGCCCGGCGCGGCAGAAGGGTACGGGCGGGTGGGCTGGCACTTTATTACGGTATTACCTAAGGTACCTAGGTAAGGCAAGGTAAGTTAAGGTGAGAGACGAGACGAGACGGGGGAAGAAAGAGAAGAGGGCACGAAGAAAAGAGGGAGACGGACGGGCACACGGGGGGTACACTACGGGAGGCAGAAAGGGTAAGGAACGGTGCGGTGGCTAGTGCTTTGCTGCTGGTGAAGTCTGGGTTCGGTGCGCACGCGCTTCTTTCTGTTTTGGTTCCGATCTCTAAAGAGTCGCTTAATTTCCCATTGGGTCCGGTCGAAAAGTCGACGGGAGTTGGGTGAGCATTTCGCTCCCGTCTGCTCCTGCTCTTCTGCTCCTGATCCCGAAGAGTTGTTGCTCCTACTAACAATTTACTCCACACCATGTACTTTTCCACATTTACATGCCCTCGAGGTACATAGACATGGCCCATGCACTCCGGCCTCCCTCCGGCCTCCTCCACCCCCTCTCGTTGGTATTGTTGTTCGTTCCCCTCTTCTTCGGCTCACTTTGTCATGCGGGTGGTCAAAATATGACGAGGAGCATGATTGTTACAATCTCTTGTTTTTGATGCTTTTTATCGCATGTTCCTCGTACCTGGTGATTCCAATATAGCCAAGGGCACTTATGGACCACTGTCTGGACATGGTCAATACTATCCGCGGTGTGTTGCGACAAAGTCGAGGGAACGAAAATAGATGGAGACAGTACCAAAGAAAGAGCTTCGCTGCCCTGCCTGTCTGCCCTCCCGTTTCCTTCTTTTGTCTTTGGGGCATGACGAGGATGACGATGGCCAGCCCCGCTGTTTGCTATTCGCATTTGAGAAAAAGAAAATGACTCGGCTGGTTTCTTTTACTTTGCTGCTTTATCCCGCAGAAAGGGCCTCTTTTGGAGATACATTCCTCGGGCAAGGCAACGTCCACCGACTGACCTCTACTAAATTCAGTCTGAAGCTTCACAAAGTCTTGTCCAAGTAAAACACCAGCCCACTGCTTGTTCTCATTGTTTTGTCATTTATCACCAAAATTCGATTGTATTAAGCTTACGGCGGTTGTCCGTGGTATTCGGACACAATTGGCCTGTCGATCCAGCGGTGAGCTGCAGCAACCTTGGGTACCTCACCTACTCGTGCCTGCCGTACACCAACGCACCACAAGATACCTCATTCTACGCATGGGCTATGGGTGGCCGGATTCTTTCCGCGACAATGGTGGAAGTGCACCACAGAGTATTTTGCTGCAATGAGAGTCTTCACTTCCACGAACAATGTATGAGTGGTCCGTAATGACTCTCATTTCGCCTCGCGAACAGAGTTGGCGAAACCGACGTCATTTTGCAGATGTCCGAGACCCAGGCAAACGAACACAAATGCAATCTTGACAACGGGCTCGGTGAGTTAAGATGGAAGCAGGCATCCATGACCGATTGGCGCCCCAAATGCAAAGTACTTACTTCGTACGTTGGGCACATACTCGAGCGGACAATGCTGTTGTGTTTTCATCCTGTCACGGCCACCGGCGTGCAAGGCGGTCGGCTGAAACGCGGCCGAGTCGCGGGGGGCCAAAAAAGTTGACAAGAGCACGACACCAGTGCATCTGCACCCACAGGGCGGGCGAGCCGGACGGGGTGGACGCCCGTTGCCCGGGAACACTGGCCTCGTCTGCCCGTGTCCTTTGGCCGCCCCCCTGTCACGATCGAAGAGGGGCCCGGCCCTCCTCACCCTGCAGGGATCATTGGATGGACGTCACGGGTTCCAACTTCCCCACAACGTTTGATATTGGGGTGTAACCTACAGTTCAAGTGCTGCAGTTGGGGTCCTCACACTAGCCACACTCCATCAGCCACAAGGACCGTTCCTATTCCCAAGGTTCCTGCCTTACTGATGGATATTCGAACAGGCCCAACTTGGACTAGCTCCTTGCACAGTTTTCTCCACTCCTCCTTACTTCTTCTCGCGCGTGGATGCGTGCGTGCGTGAGGTGAACTTGAGGCTGAGGCAAGTTGTGGCCTAGCGGACTTTGTCTTTCCACTTCATTGGCCCCCAGTTCACCTCTCAAGAGCCGCGATCCACCCAACGATAACTATCAACTTACGGAGTACGGATACATGCATTTTGCTCCAATTTCCATTCAGCCACATCTGGGAGTACCATTTGTCAAGCAACAAATCCATCAAGGCAGCACAACAGCAATTCGTAGTTTTTTCTTAATTTCATTGAGGGGGTCGTGTATCAGACTGTGTGTAACGGCAACTTTTGCTCTCTCTGGCTCTTAAAATGAGCTTCTGCCGGCCTCTTGATCTCTCGCCTTAGCCAACCACTCCAGCCGCGTCCTATCTCCGTGGCTGACACCCTGAGTGTTGTTTGCGCGCAGGCCCGATATTTCGGCACCAACACCCACGCACACATGACCGAAGAGAAGATGCCGCTCATGCTCGAAAACGGCATGAATGGGGCCATGCAGGTCGACCAGCTCGACGTCGACGACCTCTTTGGCGACGGCGTTGGCGGCCTGTCTCTTCACACGGCCCGCCCTCCAACAAAACAACTGCGCCAAAGGATCGATGAACTACGCACCCGCGGCTGTTGCCAGTGAGAACCATCCCACGATAATAATGAACAATGTATCCCAGGTCTCACAATTCTTGTAGGGGAGTCGCATGGTCCAGATCCGGCGCAATAGCCTCCGTTTCACCAGATGGAAAGACACTGGAAGCCAGGTTCCTGCGTTCCCATCCTGACAATGGCGACTGGGGTCTCAGTGAGCCCACAAAGGTTGATCTCATCAGTATCAATCCTTCAAGCCCCATAATACACCTCGCCTGGGCCTCGACAGCAAGCCCTGAACTAGCCGTCATCGACGCGACTGGCCGAGTTGCTATTTTGACCTATTCCATCACTCTGAACCGACCCTTCGCAACACGGAAATGGGACCATGACCCTTCCGACGACCTCCATGCCATTGTCGGAAGCTACTGGCTACCACTCGCTCCTCAAAGCAAGCAGGTGAGCATGAAGCCCTCCCGAGATCATTTTACCTAGCTGACTGCTCAGTACTGGGTGAGCCATGGACCAGCTGTGAAAGATGGCAACCAGTATAGGTACGAGAGCTCGTTCGTACGTGCCGGGGGCCCATGGCACCCGAATCCATCCAAGAGCGCTCTGTTGTGTGTGACGACAAACGGACACCTGAAGATGTTCTGGGCTCAGAACAACAACAAGATCGAAGAAACCTCACTTGAGCTCGAGAGCGTCAACTCATCTGACGACTTGATTACACACGCAGCACTCCACAGCGACAAGGGCAAGCAGTAACGCCCGCCCTTATGTTAAGATGTGACTGACAGAGAGTAGGCTACCTGTGGATTGCCCTGGCCACTACCAACAAGCAAATACGAGTAGTGAAAGTTGGCATTCACTGGGGACTGCCACAATCTCAATCCGATACCAAGCCACCGCCGGGCAGCCAAGCTCTTAATCCTACCTTGCACGAGAAGCACGTTGCCATCTCTACCTGGCTACCCAGCGGTCCATCCACAACACCGGTAGACTCAGCCGCGACGCAACTGACACACTTGGAGATCTTACCGTCGGTCATGGACCCAAATGGCCAGGGAGCTCCTCTCGTCATCCTCGCAGTTCGTACTTACGTACCAACACCCAATACTCCGTATCAGGAAACACAGAGTATCATCGACAAGTGGGAGGTTCCCAGCGATCAGCCTCAAAGCCTTCATCCTGCCTTTGAACAGCTTGGAAGTCGCAGGAACAGTACAGGAACGGCTCCAGCTGTAAGTCACTTGACCTTAGCATTCAAGTTCTGTTCTAACATCATCAAAGCCCGCCTGCCGACTCAAAAAGTGCGATCCCGTAGTCATCAATAAGGCCGTTATTGGTCTTCATACCATCCAGTACGGCAACGTCGTCTGCTTGGCCTTCAGTGACGGCTCCGTAGAATATCGCGATAGGTATACTCTACAGGAAGTCTACAATGAGATGAATCTCGACAGAGTCATGACGTTGGGTCAAGTAGGGTTCACCTTGCAGGATGATTCACCATGTGAGTCCAAGTAATGCAAGCAGTATGATTTTTGGAGCTAACAAGGTGCCCTAGGCCTACAAATGGCCTTCTCTCCGACCAATTGTTCTGTAGTCAAGGTTCAAGATGATGGCAAGGTCAAGTGGAGTAGACTTCACCATCCTCTAGGAGACATAGGAAACTCCAACCAAGATGGTATTTTGCCCAATACTCCCTTCGTGTCCCCCCTGCCCTTGGCTAACAAAGATGTAGCGCCATATGCTGCCACCTTGGCAGCGCTGACTGTGGCAGCGTCTACGGCGACGTTCAATAACATCAACTACGATGACATACTGGCCGTCGCTCGACCCTTTGCGAACAAGAAGCGTGCGTTGTTCCCGCCACCGTTCTGAATCCCTCATTGACTGACACTTGCAGGCTTCACGTTTGACTGGATCAATGAGATCGTGCGGATGCTCAAGGTCCCCGTAGACTACTCAGAAGACACCCACCACGACAGTCTCGTACGAAACAGTTCGCTGCAAATGTGTCTCAGCATCCTCAACCACCTCGGATACAAGGGCATGTTCCAGCCCCGGACCTTTGGCGGCAAGTTCGCCATGCTGGCCCTCAACGCACGCAACGTCGTCATCCTCATCACGATCGCGAGCAACACTCCCGTCAACATCCGCGAGAAGCTCAGTCCGCTCGACGAGCACGAGGTCGTCGACGCCCTCGCCGGCTGCGCAAAGTGGTCTCTCGACCTGCTCGCCTGGCTCACCGACTCGCTCTTCGCCCTCCTCGACGATCCGCAGTTTCTCGCCCTCCTCACCCCGCAGCGCTTTTCCGAGATGAGCGCCTACCTGCAGTCGCGCTCCGACGTCTCCCTCCACCTCCTCCTGTGCTCCTCCACCCGCGGCTTCCTCTCCGCCGTCTGCCGCCGCATCCTGCACCTCGAGATCCTCTCGAACCGCGCCATCGAATTCTACGAGCGCCGCGCCGCCATGCAGAACGCCACGGACCCGTCCTCGCATGCAAAGGGCCTCCACGTCGTCCTCTACAAGGCTTACCAGAAGATGCAGCGCGTCACCTCGAGCAGCCTCATTAAAGTCCAGGAGTTCGACCGCCTCCTGACCGTCCTCAACAACGACATCCGCACCGCCTACCAGACCTCCCTCGCCTCCCTCGCGAGCAAGAACCCGCCCGGCGGTGGCGCAGCCGCGCAAAAGGCCGTCGACGCGCAGATCAAGACCGCTCAGATGCACTGCGAGCTCAACATGCTCCTTGCGTCGTCGCCGCCGCCCGCCTTCCTCGGCGTGCTGCTCAAGTTCTTCAACACGGACCTCCGGGCCTACCGCGGCCTGGCCGACCCGTCCAAGCTCTTCTTTGCAGACTACGATCTCCTCGAGGTGGACGACGATCGCCGGACGCTGGCGGCGCGCAAGGCCAAGAGTCGCTTCATTGACGTGTTCAAACGTGTCGAGCTCGTCGGCCCGCCGCCCCCTGCTCGTGCTGGAGGCGGCGGCGGCGGTAGTGGTGCCGCTGGTAGCAGCAACAGCAATAGCGCCAGCGGCGGTAAGGAACCCGAGGACGCCAAGACGGCGCAGTGGAGGCGCTGCGTGCGGTGCTCGGCCGTCATGGAGGACGTCTTTGGCTCGCGGCCGGGCTTCACCTTTGTGTTGGCACAACAGAGGAAGTGTTCCTGCGGCGGTCACTGGGGACTTTTGCCCAGGGGGTCTCTTATCGGTTAGGTTGGGATTCGACTTGAAGTGCTCAAAACCAAAAAAAAAAAAAAAAAAAAAAAAAAAAAAAAAAAAATTGTGTGGTTTTCAGTCACAGATAGGGTTTCAGTAGGATGGATGTATTTCGAGAAAAGAAAAACGCGTGATAGATAGCAGTCGTCTTCCCAAGACGTGAGGTGTTAGTTTGAGCTACCCAGATTATCCCCAATTACGGTGGCCTTTTACTGCCCGTCCCTCTACAGTGTGTCTGCGATGGATACTCTCCGAAGCCTACGACAGAAGCTTGAAGGTTCTCATTATGGATTGAGATTACTCAACTGCTTTTGGTAGGCAGTAGACAAGGTAGAACATCACTCAAGTAATGCAGATAGGATACTGACTGTAGCTACATTAATCACTACGAGTCTTTTCACGTCAAACACTGACGACCTACCATCTACCCGCTCGTAGTCAAGTTATCGCTTGGTCTCTCCTTCTCTTCTTATTCTTCTCAAGGGTTTCTTGGCTAGAGGTCGCAAGAGTACATCTCGTACTCCCCAAGAGACAGACATCAACATGACAGCGTTGCAAAGCAAACAAGCAGGAGCCACAAAGCTCGCACACACGTACAGGAAAGAAACCTCCAAGGCTTTTACTTACCACCCCCCTGACCGTCAGGGAGGCGCGATATCATGTGTGAACCAAAATGCTCATGCAGCTGGGTTCAACCGCTCTATCCGCTGCAGCCGAATTTGAGTTCAGGGAGAGAGAGAGAGATAGAGTGTTCTGCTTCAGCAGTCAGACATAGGAGAATTGCGTTGATCTTGAGCATGAACTGCCGGAAGTAGTAGAAGGAAAGGAGGAGTGAGAGATATCAGTTCGAGGTCGGCCTCAAGCACAACCCCATGAAACAGTCATCGTCTGTCCAAACTGTTCCCCCCCCAACTATCCCTGACTGAGTCGTTCGGCACTGCCCTTGAGGAGATCCGATGGGTTCCCTCTTGGCGATAGATTTGCGGTCAGGGACGTTTCGATGTCTACCCTGTTTTGCCCAAGTCACTCCAAGCCCAATGTCCTGGTGCCTCATGAATCCCTCGGGGTGCGTACGAATATGCCCGCGTCGTCCATGGTTGGGAGAGAGAGAGCCCTTTAGGCTTTGATGAGTTGTCAACTCGTCAGGCTGGGCAAATCGCCGACGGAGCTCGGACTTTTACTCTCAACAACATTCGGACAAGCAAGTCCTCGTGGCTCCATGAAGGAACCGAGTGGCTAGATGGGTAGGCGAGATTGCTTCCTCATGCTTCAGCCTTTCACCACGGTGAAGAGTTCCAGATCCGAAGTTGGTTGCGAATAAGATTAACACCAGGACCGGGGGAGACGTAACCCTGAGAACTGCCCAATATCCGTGTTCCGTTAGCTTCGATAAACCGGAAACCGAGCTGCGTTTTCCACCCATGATTACATGAGATACACTACGCCTGGGGGCGGGACCGATACCAAGGGCGGTGCTCGTGGTAGGGCGGCTCATTATGGAGATGGCCGGCTGGCCCCCTCCAGGACAGGATATGCTGTTGCCTCAAGATCAGGACATGCATGGTGATTTGGAGTGAGGCCGTGAAGACCGAGGATAGCAGCGTAAGTTGTGGAGCGAGCAGCGACTACCGCTATGGTTACTAGTTAGCAGTTGCGAGAGCAGGGTACGGCGAAAAGGAGCTTCCTCTTGGAGCAAGATTTGAGTGTTACAGAGCTTAGCTTCCGCATCTGCAACGCGTGTATTTTCATTTCAACTCCTGGTCAGTCAGCAACTCGTAATCCAACCGCCGTCGATGCCGTTGAACCTCCCCAACTTCCCGAGACATTGCTATGATTTTGGCCCGAGACGGCATGGCGGTGTATGTTTGCTCTAGAGATTGTGAAGTGTCTGTGTGCCCTTCTAGCTTGTCGACGATGAAAAGTCCCGAGCTGTTATCAAAGTCTGTGTGTTGTAAACAGTTATCACGCCCACGCTCAACGATCGTCTCCGAGCAAAGACATGTGTATCTGCACATGGGGGCGCAAAGCCCCGTTGGTAATATCATTGCTGACAAGATAATCAGGCACTAGTCTCGTCAAGGTACGGATACACACGCCTGCAGGAGGCAGATACTGAGAGCGAGAGGGTGTGAGGGTCTAGGCCAAGCACTTGGTAGGCGGAGCTCATAATGATTTCCTGGTGCGGATCAGGAGCTTTGGTCGAATGACGTGACGAGGTGGCCGGAGGTGGTTCCTGGGGGTGGTATTGGAACCCCTTTAATCCGGGGAGATAGATATCCTAGTCACTGATTGTATGACGAGAAGAATTGAACAATTTGATCTGGGCTTGAAGTGGTGGCCAAACCCTGGTGCCCTGGTGGTGGGCTGTGTGAGCTCCCTCTCATGGCGAGAAGACAGACGGGGGCTGCCGTGGGGGATAAGGCAGCTCAATTTGAGCACGGTCTCTGAGCTGATGCTTCTCGAACTCCATTGCCATGCCTTAGCAGTCCAACTAACAGCAAATCTACCAGATAAAAAGCACCACTAGTTAGTCGTATTGCAAAGTGCTTGCCGCAAAGAGGATGCAGCGCCGATCGAGATTCCGGTTCTGGAAGGCGAAGAAGGTGTGCGAACAGACTGTAGACTGCAGTACACGTAGTTTCGGTCAACGGAAGTTAACAAACCAACGGCCGGGAGGCTTGGTGCAGCCGATGGTACTCGGTACGCCAGTCTATGTGGAACAGGTGGTAAGGCGACCTGACAGCCCCTGCAGGCCGAGATGAAGCACTGGCGATATGGAGAGATGGAAGTAGGTACCAAGTTCCCGACACAGGGTGTGCGCCTCGGAGGATTTCTGGATCGAGAAAAGCTACACCTAGTGTAGTATCAGGCAGAGGATCCGTCTCCGTAGCCGTTCTGCGTGTACCATTTTGTATTTGACCCGTCTGCCAAGCGAGAATGATGGGATTGATATGAAGTCAGTTTGCTGTTGGTTCGATGACAGCTTCGACAACAAAGAGAGGCAAATTGGCAAGGACATTCAGTGCTGTGCCTTTCATTGGAAATGTACGGACGGCTGGACGTTCGAGGACACTACGTAGTAGAATTGGTGACAGGGACATGATGAAGGCCGCATAAGCATCCCATAGGCTGGCGTCGGTGATAGGAGGTGAGGTGAGGTGTTGAAGCTGCGCGGACAAGGACTCTGGGAGGGATGGGATTGAGATTGACGGCAGGGGTTCAGAAAAAGCAAAGAAGGTTCGAAATGCAGACCTCGCCCCCACCTGGCATCGCTACTTCCATTCGTAGCACAGAATTGCACAGTAGCAGTGCTTGGCAAGTTGACCCTGGCCGGGGGAGGCTGCCGTTGTTCTGACCAGGGCTCTATCGACCAATCATAGGCGAATAGCTTATCATGACAAAATGTGGTTACTCGGCCTCTTCGGCCGGTGCCCTTGCCTTTTGATCTGTCGGGCCCTTGCCATCTGTTGCCTTCCTCGGGCAGCTCCTGGCCTGTCGGTCTCCCATCAGGATGGTAGCGGCGGGACTGCCTGTCATCCCTGTTCGCTTTCCCAATCTGGCGTTAGGTGTTTGATATCACCACCACCAGACAGATGGGAAGGAGTGGGTAGTCACCTCAGTGAGCACCTCTTTCTTGCCTTCCTTGCGTTGACGTCGATGTTGAGGCAGGCACTCAAACTGCAGCAACGCCATACTGTGACACGGCAGGTACGTTGGCTGCAATTACACTTTCACTTTGCAGCCCGCCGCACCACGGACAGTTGCTCAAACTTGTCCGAATATCACCTAACATCGCCGACATGGGAAAACAAGGCCAAGACTTGTCAATTCTCCACGATCTTTCTGTCTAACTCGCACTATTCATAATCATGACATGATGGAATAGCTAACAAATCTAACCAGCTCAAAAGTCAATCTTCCAGCCTCCGTCTACCCACGACTCCAGCGTCGCATGGGGGACAGACTTTGAGTTCCCGCCTTGCCGCAGGAAATCATCAGCTCAAATCCCGTCTGTTTCAGTGAGACATGAGATGGCGGCTACTATGCCCTTCTTCGTCTCAAACAACGGGCAACGGGCAAAACACGACACGGTGCTCTCTGTACGGCTACGGATACGCCCGCCAGGCACCGCCTAAAGCCTATTCCCTCCTCTTGCGAGAAAACGTTAAGCTCTCGCGGGCGTTTGGCCAAGACTTTCAACTGAGACTTCGGTCACCAGCATCCCTTTCCCTAAGAATTCTTCCGATATAGAGACCAACCAAAGGAAAAAAACATCCGAATTTATCCCTTTTCCCACGGCTTTCCATTTTGTGCGGCCATAGCGGCCGCTGCACCAAGACCTTTACGCCAATTTCTCACTCTGTGCGACAGCACGCCGCAAAGTCATCGCCGTCGTCGCCTGCAAACGGAGTGCTCATTCGCTGCTCGCGGGCCGTAGACGGCTGTTCCTGGCCGCGTCTGACATGCCTTGCGGCCGCTACAACGCGCTGCTCTGCCCTTTCCATCCTCCTGCTTAGTATCAGCATCAGCTGTGTCACGCACGTTCACGCACGTTGCCCTGCTGGGTTTGCTACGCCGCCTCCTACCCTTGAGGCCTGCCGGGTGCCGGCTGGCTGATTCAACATAACGAGCCATGGTTACTAATAGTACCTCTGAATGATCAACCGCCGAGCCCGTGATGTGCAAAACAATGAGCTGCCGGCACCTGCAGGCACAGCGTCGGATTCTGCCCCGACCGTGTTTGATGAGGCTTCCAGTATCTGACCGTCAATGCTATATAGGCCAGGGCTCTCTTGCGGCATATTCGGTCATTCTATGGTTCCAAGAGAAACAAGAATCTGCAAAGTTCAGACCAGAACGTCTCGTGTGTTCGGAGGCAACACTGGTACAGCGAGCGAGGGGTGTTGTTATGGCTGTGTCGGTACGAATATCTGACTACAGGATAATTACCTAGGATGCCAAGTCGTAGGTAGGTGTCTATCCCATCCGTACCGTAC